AAGAGCATCGCAACATATGGGTAATCTGCCAAGGGGTGTCATCGGGAGGATTTTCTACCGAAAACGGGCCCCTATTTAGGTGTTAGTCACGTGAAGAAACAGGAAAAACTGCACCCGTTGATTAGGAGCGAACCCACGACCACTAGTGTTCAGTTTTATCCACTCGATTACTGGTGGGCAGGATAGAGACAGGGCGTTAACTATCTTTTCAATCAGTTGTCATTTGCGAACTTTTGAAATATTACATTTTTCTTTAACTAAATCGAATATTAAGTAGACCTTTTTGTATCACGATCAATAACTGCACTAATCAATGACTGAGACCATCGTCGAAATCGAACAAAAAACACAAAATGCAAAGTAATAAATCAAACTAATTTTAAATTTAATTAAATTATAGTTAAATCTAGTATATTCTATTTCATTGGAATTTTCAGGAGAAAAGGAATCGAGTTACCTTAAAAGTCAGTACTTTTAGATAACTGTAATTGTAATTTGATCATGGAAAATCTTTTTAACTTTCCATTAAAATTTAGGATAAAAGTTTAAATTATTTTTTAAAATTAAATTGTTATTAACTAACTTATAACATATAAAGAATCATTATTATAAAATTCAGATATTTATGAAGAAATATGAATTTCTTTGGTGATAATTTCATGAAAACCTAATTGAAATCATAAGAAATTATCAATACTTTTGTGTTAATTAGTTTGAATTATCAATTTTTAAACAAGCACAGTGTCTGATTTATTTAATATCTCTACAAAAAGTAAATGAGAATAATATACATGGTAATTTTTCTTTCAGTTGAAAGTTTAATTTAAATTTCGAGAGTTATGCAAGTCTAATGTCGACGATAACTTCTGATTGCCCAGAATATGATATCTGTAATAAAATGATGTAAGAATTTTATTTTTTATGCTGCAAATAGACAGATATTGTGACATCATAGAATTCTTATCTTAACATAATCGCAATTCTTTTTTATGTAGCTTATTTGTCTCTTCCTTCCATCAAGTAAAGAGATGGCTTTGCCACTCCGAGTGAAGCGATTTTCCTTTGTCTCCAATTATGTTCTTATCCATTAATTCTCCATTTGAGTACAAATATATTTGATAATTAGAAAGGTAAAAATCTACTGTGACCGAGATTTAAATCTGAGATTTTCTGGTATAACTACGATCTCCTTTTCTACGCTTCCGTGTGGGCAGATTTCCAATTATATTAGGAAGTATAATCTTTATATTGAATAATTGTAAGAGATCACTGCAAACTTTTTTACATGGATAGATCAATTTTGATTTTAATACGGTTTGGTTTGACGGGATACGGAAACGCAACACATGGGCAATCTGCCAAGTGGGGTACTTCCGGATAGACTTTCTACGGGATACTGGTCCATATTTTGGTGTTAGACGTGGAAAACTACACGCGGTCAGCCCGTTGGTGTGGTGCGAACTCACGATCAGTGTTCAGTGATTTAAGCCATTTAATGAGTCGATTTTAATAAGGAGCTAAGAATTAAGTATATTTCGTGCGATTTCTATTTTAAATACAATACTAAAATAAGTCGTACAGATGTGTGACTTAGAAACGTTTCCGTTTAGTTCATTGTAAAAAACATTTTATTTATTTTTATTATTTATTAAATTATTTTCTAACTCTTTCTAACTCGCGCATTAAAAAGATTGTTAATGAGTGTGATCAGGATCTCTGAGAAGTCGAGAGAAACTTATACAGTATTATAATCCTAAACATACACAAACACTGAATAATTTGTAAAAAAATATTTTTGAGACCTTCGTAAATGTGAAAGGTCAAATGGCCTCCTGATTCCAATTAGCTTTTACAGTTTCATATTAAAGAATTAAATAAAGTAAAATTGATTTATTTGAATAATGTGTAATTTATAGGCCTATATTATATCCTCAAATGTCTGATAAAATGAATATGTGAAGCTGTTCACCTGGTCCATCTGCAGTCAGACTTTGAAGAAACAAAAACTAGTTTTAATTAAGTTGAAATAAAGGGGGACTAAGGCACACGCCCCTGTCGTTTTACCGAGAATATCACTCAATTACTTTAAAATTTAGATAAGATTAAATAACTTAAGTAATTTTAAAATAATAGAATAACATTATTCGATGCGATATGCATTATTATATTTATTTTTATTTTAAAGAAACAAAACTCATTGAGTTGGTATCAATGGGGTGCTACAGCACCATAAGCATCTCTCTGGATACATCCATGCATAATACGCCTTCTAAAATGCGACTATAACTTTGAAACTTAGGAATATTTAGCCTTAAGATTATTATAATTTGATTTTTAGTTCTAAATTAGATATAATTCTTGCAAGATTTTTGCTCTCTTAATCGTTATCATTACATTGTTTTTATTCATAGAACCAAACCTCCAACAACGGCCAACTCTTAACGGTGGTTGAACAAAATTGCATACAAAATAACCTTCAAACAACGTATTTTTTAAGTTCCCGTCAGTAGCCGTTGTCAGAGGTTTGACTGCATTATTATTTATTAAAATTTACTGTTTTTAAATATTAAAAAAAATTCTTAAAATTCATGTATTTTACTTCAGAGATAAATTGATTTATTGCATCCATTAATTTTAACAATGTTCACATAAATCTAAAAACTGTTCAGCAGTTTAGTAATGTACTTAATTATCTTTTAAATTTACTCGAATTTACTTTGTGATTTGCATAAATAATTATTAATATATTTATATTTGCTGCCATATTAACAGATTTTAAAAAAGTAAGCCAAATTTCTGGAAAAATCATTTATCTTTAACGTTGTAAAAAGTAATTAGTAGAGTTATCCGCATAAATGCACATTAAAAAGCATCATGTAAATTATCTTCTACTTCTTTATACCTCAATATCTTTGATAATATATCTCAATGTCAAATTCGAGAAAACATTAAATCTGACATTCTTGTATTGACTTGCATTCCAGGAATTCTTTTATGATAGATGAAAAATTTAATACTGTTATATATCACGGTTATTTTAAGAATAAAATAATAATTATTATATCTACAGTTTTGTAATTTGAGTGCCATTAATAAAAATTTGAAACAAATTTTATCCTAATTAGGAAACTATTAAAATGAAAGATAATTGATTTATCCTACAAAATATTTACAGTACAAATTTTCTTAATTCTCAGAAATTTTAGAAGTATTTTTAATAAGAGAAAACGGAAAAAGGAGAAGACATAAGAATGTTTCTTGATTGGCTTTTAATGCAAGAAATTTTAACAGAAATTTCGATATTGCTGCAAAAGAATTTTCCTTAAACTTCTTTGTGAAGATCCCTCATTCAGTGGCCGAGTGGATAATACTAAACACTAATTGTGGGTTTGCGCCTCACAAATGGACTGACTACGTGGAGTTTTCTGGGTGTGTAACAACACCTAAATATCAGCAATTTCCCTTAAAAGTTCTCCCGGAGGTAAATCCCCTTGGCTCTCGATCACCCACGTGTTGCATTGCCTTGTCCCATAAAACAAAACTATCATTTATTTTATTTTATTTTATTTTTTGGTCCCTTGCTATCTTCGAGATAAATTTTAGCGTGTTAAAAATAGCCGAAAGAAAAATATTTTTACAGAAACTGTTATTAAAATGAAGAATATCGTATTTCATATACTGTTAACATAATATTATTTTAGAGATGTTATTAATGCTTCTTTCTTTTCTTCGTTTATTCTAAGCTTTTACAATATGAGAAATTTAATATTATTATTTTTTATTTTTTAACGCAAAAAGAGTGTATTATTTTTATTTTCAGCTGATTAAAAAAAAGGTCATTCACCTGAAAAAATTTTTGCATGTCGCTATTTCACTTCTGTCACGAACATTGACATTTATTAAAGTAGTTTTTATCATTTCCATTAATCTTTACTATTTATCATGATGATCATATTAAATTTAATGCAGAGGATTGAAGAAAGAGGTTAATATAGAAACTAACCTTAATATTAAATTTTTATAATCATAAAAAGATTTACTGTTATTTTCATTTTAATAGAAGTAATGTCGATAGTTGTTTACGTAAAGATAGAACATAAATATGACGATAAAAATATAATTTTAAACGAAAAAGTAGGTTTATACATACATTTTTTCTTTGTTTTCATAAAGTGTTTAACATTATACAAAAGTAAATTTCTTGAAATGACTTTTAAATTCAATAAAATGAGCAAATTAAAATGATTTTAGTTGAGTTTCAATGCCATTCTATAGTCGTATAGAATTTAGAATATCAACAGAACTGTATTAAATTAAATTTGAACAAACAGTTCTATTCTTGTTCTGTTTGTCCCTTTTGGATAATTTCATTGCGCATGCTGCTACTGATAAGAGAATTGTTTACCATAAATTATGGGCCACTACCCTAGAGAGATAGCAAAACATAAATAGATACTCATACTCTACTGAACATGTTATTGTTGACATTTTTCTGTTCTAAAATTAAAAGAATTTAGAAATTTTAAAGATTGGAAAAAAAATGTTGCATTAACCATAAATTAAGTGCACTTTTCAAATATTATCTAATATGTATAATTTATTGTACTGGTAATCTTCTATTTCATTTGAGCACTAAAATTTATATTATAGAACTTTACAGACACTCTAAATAATTCTGTAAAGGTAGCAATTTTCTGTTACGTCTCATAGAAAATTTTATAGTATGATGTAAAAATACTGCTAGAGATTATGATGATTTAATGCAAACTGAAAGTAATTTTTGGCATTTACGTAAAATAATCGGCACTTTTAATCTGAAATTTAAGTGTTTAAATCATCTCATGGCATTACTAAAATAGTTAAGCTTCGACATTAACATTAAAACATTAGGAAAAAAATCATTTTTTATCAGAGAATTACATTAATTTAAAAAACTACGAATATCTTTTTTTTATTCAGTAATTACTTAATAATAATAAGAATGAGAAATTTGTCCTTACCTGAACATCAGTTGATCAATGCTTGGAACAATGCCCGTTTGATCTGTCTGAAGTTGAAAATATTATCATTACCGATATGCAAAATCGATCAACAATTTTATTATTTTTTAAAAATAGTTTCTATAAAATTAATTATAATAAGAAGAAAAAAAGTACATTTTTAATGCCTAAATTGCTATTTCCATTACTGAACGTTTGATGTATCGATATACTCATTAAACTTCAGCTTTTCATATTAGACTAGCGTTAAATCGGGGTAAAAATAGCGTAGACGGTAAAATGCGTTTATAACGATTAAGTATCGAGTAATTGGGAAGTATAATGAAAAGTTGAAAACTTTGTTGGGTTCCTTGACTAGTTTTAAGTTGATTAAGTGCAGGAGTTTGTGCTAAGAGAACTCCACACAGTGCCAGCCCGACGGAGCAAGCGCTGTGGTTGGTTTGGTGCGTTAAAACGGACGAGACGATGCCATTCGACATCAGAACAGTTCAGTCAACGCTTGATCAAACGCTTGGCGATCTGCCAGAGATACAGGTTTTCCCGTTGTGTGACTTCGAAGTGTCAGAATAGGGTGGGTTATAGGGAAGTTAAGCCGTGCGGTGGGACTACCGAGAGACCGGGAGGCAAGCAGCAACGGCGACGGATCGGCTCCTTATAGTCCCTCTATGGAGCAGGGAAAAAATCGTCAGCAGTTGGTCGGAAGTCTGGAGGAGTTGTGTCGAAACACCAAGTTCACCAAAAGGGAAATACAGCTGATGTACAGGAGCTTTAAACAGGTGAGTTCCCCCCCCCACGACGTTGCAAATGTTTACATTACGTCGGATATTACCAGCGACAACAATTTGTACACGTCATATTTAAAAATTTATGACAATAATTAGTACTGTCATATACAAATAATGTTTTTATAAACTTAGATAATACGCGTGTAATTTTGTTGAATAGCGCGGACAATAGCCGGAAATACACGCTCTAATTAAACAATATTGTTAATTTAAAATTCTCTACTATATTATTTTATAAAATAGAATACTGGTAACTTACGTAATCGTTACTTTGTTATACGTAAAGATCTAGAACAATTTATAAACTTCAGAGACTAGTAAAAAGAATTTAATGGGAACTTATAGATAAGCCATCTTATTAATCGTGGATATCTTATTAAATATCGATGTTTTATTTCTAGTTTATATCAAAAATTTATTACTGAACATCAAATTATATATAAAACGCTCATCAATCAATTGTTCAACTTTGTTGTGCTTAAGCATTTCATCCGTAACGTATTATTTGATGATAAATGGTTTCTCATTCTATTACACGGTAACACAATATCGATAATAAGGTATTAATTATTAATTACTTTACATTAAATTACTTATAGATCTTATTTTAAAGTTATATAATTTTTTTACGCACGGAATAAGTAAAGATAATGTCCGAATTAGAAATCTTATAAGTGTCTTCCAACATATCCTGAATGACATTTTTTGGATTCTATTGGTCTGTCATAAATTTATGGGATTGTCGAGTTTGTCAACCACGAAATTCTTTTAGTAAAAAAGTTTATTTTTTTTATATCATCTATATTCATCATGATACAGTATAGGTGTTGTGATCAGAGTGCGTACAACGTCATTCCTGTGGTTACCTTGGTAACTGTACAGGTATATAATTAGACATTTTGACTGATCGGTTCAATATTAGGGGTTTTGTTAGTCTAAAAATTCGCCAACATCATGTTCATTTTTATAAGGTTATTTATCCTTATTTGTTCGTAATTCCTAAACAGATTATTTAGTAGAATACTCGCGTACGTTTTATTAGCAGAAGAGTTACTTCGCTTTGGTTTTATCACGTAAACTTAATAATATTTTACTCACAAAAGTATTTATTTATATTATGATTCCGATATATTTTTATAAAATCTTTTTTATAATAATCCCATGTTAAATTATATCCGTATGTCATGGTTGTATCTGTGATCAATTATCAACATACAGTATTTGCACAACCACAGTCTGTATTTACAAAGAGGAACATATTATTTTCATCATAAATAATATATAAAAACACTTAGAACTTTATATAAGTTTTAAAAATAAAATACATAAGCTTAATTTCTCCTGAGGGTAATATATATTGATATTTATAATTTTTTAAATTAATTAATAAGTAATATAAAATTAGATAAAATTCTGTTTTTCAGGTTTAAATGTTTTAATGAAATGTTTTATATGGGAAAGGAAGAAGCGATGAAGAATGCTTGACACAAATAGCATCATAGGATATTGATTAGATAATGCTTTATGGGTTTTATGAAGATATCGCGTAACGTTTATTAATTTCGAAATAGGTTTTCCGAAATAATATGTCAATTCCTAGTTAGAAAAATACTAAATTCATGCAATATTTAGCATTTATTCCATATTAAATATTTATAAAAACCTATTTTAAAGCACTATACATTGTTTTCATCTATACTTTAAAGGTTGTTTTTCCTTCTGCACAATCGTTTTGCAAGGTAAAATCAATTGATCTTCGGATAAAATATTGTTCTAAAAAAACTAAAAAAATAAAATAAAATAAAAATGAGAAAGATAAATGGATATATTAACTAAAAATTGTTATAAATATTTTTTTCGTAAATAACTTCATGACATAAAATGTTATAGTTTAAACTTTTATTTTACCATTAATGTTTACCGTGAGAGTATCATCAAGTAACTATGAATTTTATAGTTTTATATTACAGAAACGTATAGATCTATATTGATTTAACATTATCAATAAATTTTACTAAATTATTCTTACTGTGTCGTGTATTTCTGTACAAATTGAGCAGAGTTTAAACTTTAAAATGTTTTACATTAATTAAAATTTTAATAAATTTATTTAATTCAATATATATATATATATATTGGAGTCTTTATACCTGACAGGTGTCTTTATATACGAACCGCATTAACCAGGCATACCTGGCGATGCCTCACCTTCTTAAAGGCCTCATCTCATTACTCATTACTTATATTTTTGTTCTATATATAAGCCTATATATATAATGCTCTAAAGAAATTGGGTTAGAAGCCTCATAAGCGCTTAAAACCATCCTGTATACAGTATATTATAGTAAAGATGTTTTACCTTCTTCAGCTTCGCATAGGTACTGTACAAATGTACAGATGTGTATATATATATAATTAATATATTTGGGTAATAAACTTTTGTCTTCTTGTGACTTTACGTATTTAAATAAATAAATAAATTTATATATTAATATAATATTATACAAGATCACTTATTAATTATAAAGGATTTATCCTTTAAATTTATTATAGACAGTAATAATATATAATATTATCAAGTTGAATAACTTGGTAGAATTATAAGTTGAAAACGAGTTAAATCATTAATTACAGAAAATAGCTTTAAGCAGACTTTTAACTGGAATTAATTAAATGGTATTAATATTTCAGTTTTATATATTCTTCGTATTAAAAAATTAAATTTTAATGATTACGTCTTTTATATATTTAGTAATAATGTTTATTCGTTTTAATTGTGAAATATACAATCTATTTTTATAGTTAATTAAAAATATTAAAAAATAAGCCTCATATTTCCAGCATTAAGACTTTAGTAATCACGTTAATTAATCACGTAATTTCTTTAACAATTAAATAATTTTTCCTGATTTCGTTCTAATAATTCTTTCACTTTTTTTACAGGTTTATTTAGTTTTATGAATAATCATAATTAAAAAGTTATTTAATTGAATAATGATAAATTATTATTAAATTAAATTCTACATTTATTAGCTTTAAACTAGCCTTTGTTAATTGCCAAGTATTTAAAAAATTTCAATTAAAAATTATTTTTTTAAGAAAATTAAAAGATATATCGATTAAAGTTTATATGTTTTAATTAAGTATCTTAACTTATTTAAAAATTTTTTAATATATTATATACAGGCCCTAGCATATTTAGGGATTAAAAGATGGAAAATGGAACATGACCAGTCACAAATTTGAGGCTCTCCACATTTCGAAGCCATAAAAATGTATCAATAAACTTAATAAAACAAAAAAATAGAAGGTTATAATTACCGGAGTGAAATTAATACATAAGCTGCAGCTTACGCCTTATAGTACAAGAGTGCGTTTAAGGCCTCACGCTTTTAAATTCATTATTAGGTGGTGGAGGAGGTTATTTATATGCTTATAACTATGTTATATATCCATATTAATTTAATTGGTGTAATTTAGAGTTTTTAAACTTTATTGTCATGGAAAATATATAAACGTATGTTTTATTCGCAGAACTTTTAAACAGTGGATTAAAGAATAACTTTAAAAATATTTTATATCTAGTTAACTACTCATCTTATAATTGTTTTTTTTATTATAGTGTAATAAAATATTTAAATCTAGTTAATTACGAGTTTAAAAATAAATTAAGTATTTTATAAAAATAATACAATTTAAATGCATTTTAAAATACCAAATTTAATTACTGAACATAAATTATTTCAACAAATGTTTACATAAGTTTAAATAAATTCAATTTAGTTATTTTTAATTTTATTGATAATAATTATAATTATAATTATTATTTTTTAAATAAAGCTCTTGTATTTAATTAATAATATAGTATTTCTATAAGAATAGGTTGTTTTTAAAATTTATTTGAGTAATTCTTTCTGGATATTGAGTTATATAAGGAATAATTACTTAAAACTTTTTATTTTTTCTGAAATTTATAATAAATTATTTTAGTATAGATTTACAACAATTAATAATTACTTTACATTTTCTTCTTCTTGGATCATTCAAGGATTAGGCCTGCTCCAACTTTAAAGGCATTCCCCCTTTCATGTGTCTTCTTCCTCTTGGTTTATAATTTTATATAAAACTTAGATTTACTTTCTAATAATTCTATTTTGCTTGTTTTTAATTAATAAATAAATAAAATTTTAACATATTAGGAAATTATTAGTAGAGATGGCCGGATGAACGAGTAAAGCCTTTCATCTGAAGAACTCTCTAATCCTGTGGAGTAACAGGAATTTGAGTTCACATAGGTCCAAAAATTTTCATATAGAAGTCCACCCGAGGATCCGTTATGGGCCCTGCCAAATTTATGGTAAAACGCGGAAAAGGTCGTTTAAGTGCCCATAGATCGACAAGAATTTTGAAATTAACTAATTAGAAGAAGAAATTGAATCTATAAATTTTGATTTATTATTAATATTAATTTATTTTATAGTTTAAATAAATTTTAGATAAATTATAGAAGGTTATATTTTACAAATACAATAAATTTTTAATTTTTAAATAATTACATTAAAATAGCAGTATAATACTGTATAAAATAAATAAAAAAAAATTAAGAATCAGCTACAATTTTTATTTATTACGAAGCCGTATTTTTCTTATTGTAATAAGTTAATATTCAGAAAAAAAAACATTAATTTAATGATACAATAATACTGTACAGTCGAATCTCTAGCAATTGCCACTTCCAAACAACGTCCATTTTTTACGTTGCCGTCAGTGGCCGCTGTTCAGAGATTTTACTGTATATTGATGACTGTTGAATGATATTTTTCACAGATAGTTACAAAATATTGTGAGTCTTATTGATTATAAAGAATTTCCCATGTTTTTCAAAATTTTATCTGGCTTCATTTGATGGGATATGAAAACGCAACACGTGGGCGATCTGCCAAGAAGGTAAATTCCGGAAGACTTTTCATAGAAAACTGGCCCATATCTAG